CAATTATATTAAAAATTTAGAAAATAAAACTATTCTGTACTCCCATCCCCAGAGGTAACCACTGTTAACAGTTTGGTGGATGTAATATCCTTTTTTTCCCTACCAATATTATTATTAAAAACCTAGAACATACAGTTTTATAAGGAACTTTTTTTACTTAACCATAAATCATGGACTTTTCATTAGTACACACTTATCTATTTCACTCTTTTTATCTGCTATATAGTATGTCATTTTATGAATGTACCATAATTTATGAAACCAGTATCTTTAAGATCAATATTCATTATTTTTAATTTTTTGCTATTATAAAATTGAAAAATGTGGTAATAGCCTGCTAGATACATGTTTGAGGACTTTTATATATTTGAGGAATTTTATACATATATATTTGAAGATAGTTATTGTGTTTTTTTAATTTTTGTTAATAGCTTCTTTTTAAAAATATGTTTTTATTGATTTCAGAGAATAGAAGGGAGAGGGAGAAATAGAAACATCGATGAGAAAGAAACATTGGCTGCCTCCTACAGGGATTGAGCTCGCAAACTGGGCATGTGCCCTGACCAGGAATCAAACCTGGGATCTCCTGGTGCATGGGATGATACCCAACCAACTGAGCCACACCAGCTAAGCTAGTTATTGTTTTTTTAATGGGCTACCTGGATTAAAAAGCATCAACATTTCACTCTAAAACGCTGACAGAAAAAAATGACAATATATTGTTTATTAGTGATGCCGAGGAGCATTCCATATATTTACTTGCACATTTTATTTTTTATGAAAACTACCAATTTATGCTCTTTGCCCATTTTTTAATAAAACTGAGTTGTTCACCTTTGCCTATTAATTTGTGAAAGCCTTTTATATTTTTAAGAAATTAGCCCTTTAATTCTTGAGTGTGTTATGAATCTTTTCCCAATTAGTTGACTTTTTACACTATTTTTTTCATGCATACGTTTTTTATATTTATGGAGTAATATTATCAATCTTTTCTCTCATAACTTCAGTGGTTCACGTCATGCTTAAGGAGGCTCTCCCTATAGTTCAAGATTATTAAATCTTATACAATTATTTAATTGTGTTTTTTTCCGTCTTTGGTGGGATTTGTAAAAAAAATTAAATCCCTGATCCATCTAAATGTTATTTTGATTTTAAAAGATAGCTCTCTAATGCTAACCAGTTGTCTCAGTGCTATTTACTAGATAATCCATCTCACCCTTTCCTGCAATGTGAAATGCCACCTTTATTACATAATATATATCTGAAAACCTAGAACTTGATTTAAAGATGTTAATAAAATTAACACATAGCAGAAAATAAGTCCTCTCGATTTTCTGAATTAAAAATGAGTTTATTTTCAGACTGTGTAGCTTGATCTCATTTCACAGGTGAAGAAAGGGAGGCCCAGGAAAATGCGGCTATTTCCCCAAGGTCGGACACAGCTAGTTCCCCAAGGTCGGACACAGCTATTTCCCCAAGGTCGGACACAGCTAGCTAGTAGCAAAGCCGAGGATCAGAATCCATGTTTTTTCATCCTCAGCTCAGTGCTCTTTTTATGAGATCCCTTAAAGAAGACATTTAATTTTTAGAAGAGTTAAGTGGTTGCAAAGATTTGAACATTAAATTTAAAATATTAAATTTGAAGAAAAGTTCATAGTGTTCATATTCTTAGATATGACACGTTTTGGTACAGTATTCTCTTTTATAACGTGCTGACACATTTTGCTTCACTCATATTGCTTCCAATAGTTTTTTCATGTGTGTAACCTTTTCTTTCAAAGAACTCAAAATACTTTAGAAACATGCTTACTGACTAAAAAGAGGTTTATATATACTGAGAGCTATGAATATGTTAGGAATATAATAAAAATATACAGCTTTTTAAAAATTGATTTGAGAGAAACATCAATATGTTGTTCCACTTCCTTATTTATTTATTGGTGGCTTCTTGTACGTGCCCTGACCGATCAAACCCACAACCTTGGTGTATTGGGACCATAATAAAACCAAATGAGCTACCCAGCCAGGGCCCCAAAATAATTTTGATTCTTGAGGAGGTAAAGCTTATCTTCATCTATCGTCAGAGCATTGCAGAAAGGAACGGGATGGTAAAAATATAGTCATTTCGGTGTCCACCATCATTACTGTTAAAATTATATGTTTGCATAGATGTAAATTCACAGTTTATCTCCTTTGATCTTGACAGTTGTGAACGGGGTAATTAACCCCTCTTTAGTGGTAAAAAAGCAGAAGCTCAGAGAAGATAAGGGTTTTGCTCTTCATAGTAAATGGAAGCTCTGGGAATTAAATCTCACCTTCTGGCTCTTTCTAGTATAGCACCAGCTTTTCTTAGTGGCGAGGAAAGGTGAACTGCAGAAATAAGGAGCCTATGTAGTAATATATCTCCGTGTTTAACTTTTTGAGGAACTGTCAAATTGTTTTTCACAGCAGCTGCACCATTTTACATTCCCTCCACCAATGTATGAAGGTTCCAGATTTCTCCACATCTGTGTCAAAACCTTTACTGTCTGTTTTTTTAATTACCGTATTTGCCGGCGTATAAGACGATTTTTTGGCCCTGAAAAATATGCCTCCAAGTGGGGGGTCATCTTATACGCCAGGTACACTTCAGATAGACTGCCCATAGTGCTTGCCCTGTGCCATAGTGGCCTCCCGATGCCCACCCACTTCATTCCACATACCGTTCAGGCATCAGCAGCGCTGCTGGGTGTATGCTCGGCTGTTATGCGATTTTGCTGTTATGCGATTTTACCACACTCGCAAAATCGCAAACCGCCAACCATACACCCAGTAAGAGGAGTTTGAAGGCTTTTAAGGTGAAACTGTCACGCCAGCAAACTTGCTAGGGACTTGCCCGGCACTTGCTCTCTCCCTCTATTTGTTATCTTTCTTCTATCATTGACAGTCCCTCTAGGTTGTGGGCTGCTTGCCTGTGTTCCTGAGAAGCATCTACGGTACCAGTCTATAGAGTGTGTTTTCTTTAGTGAATTACCGGTATGTTTACCGGTAATAAACTTGCACTGTTTTATGTATATGTTTGATTACATACAGCCTTGTGACAGTTTTCCTGCATGTCATAAGCATTTGAATATAAATTAAAATGTTAAAATCAAATCTGATATTGTTTTACCTTTTATTTGGTGTGTGGAAGGTGTGCGGAAGAGGGGTAGTCTTATACGGCGAGTATATAACAAACTCTGTATTTTGAGTGGAAATGTTAGGGGGTCGTCTTATACGCCCAGTCGCCGGCAAATACGGTATATTACGCATTAAATGTTAGGGGGTCGTCTTAATACGCCCAGTCGTCTTATACGCCGGCAAATACGGTATAGTGATCCTAGTAGGTGTGAAGTGGTATTTCAGTGTAGTTTTGATTTGCATTTTCCTAATGACTAAAGAAGTTGATCATGTTTTCATGGGTTTATTGGTAATTTATATGTCTTCTTGTGAGACATGTCAGATCCATTGTGCATTTCCTAATCAGGTTGTCTTTTTGCTGTAGCGTTTTAAGAGTTCTTTATATAATCTGGATACTAGATCTTTATTAGATATGTTTTACAAATATTTTCTTCTGTTCTATAGGTTGCCTTTTCTTTTCTTTCTTTTTTATTAGTTAAGGTATTACAAATGTGTATAGGTTGCCTTTTCATTTTCTGGGAATGTTTTTTGAAGCCCAACTGTTTCTTTTAATCCTCACCGGAGGATATGCTTTTATATTGTTTTTTTTGGGAGAGAAACATTGACCAGTTGCCTCCTGTATGCGCCTAGACCAGGGATAGAATCCACAACGTAGGTATGTGCCCTGACTGAGGATCAAACCTGCAACCTTTTGGTGTACAGGACAACACTCCAACCAACTGAGCCACCTGGCCAGGATGAAGCCCAACAGTTTTTAATTTTCAAGTCCAATTTCTCTATTTTTAGTTTGGTTGCTTATCCTTTAGGCAAGATATCTATGAACCATTGTCTAATTCAAAGTCATTAAAATTTACCCTTGTTTTCTTCCAAGAATTTTATAGTTTTAGCTACCACATTTAGGTCTCTAATCCATTTTGAGTTCATTTTTTATATATAGTGTGAGGTAGGACTCCAAATTCATTTTTTTGATTGTGAATATCCACTTGTCCAAACTCCATGTGG